CCCCCCCCCCGCCTCCTCCCCCTCCGCTTCCAGCTACGAGCCCCCGGCCCTTGTCTCTGATAACCATTGAGGATTAGTAGGAGGAACAATAGTCACTCCACCCTACAACTAAGCTAGAGTTCCTCTAGCTGCCTCAGAGACAAAAGCTAAAATGACACCAGCCAATGGCGAGTCAATGCCCACGAATGTTTCACCTGCTGGCATGAACAAAGGGTCAACATAGAAAAAAAAAGTTAACAATAATAGACCGCTTCCACATACGCAAGTATTGGTCCAATTCTAACCATCAAAAGTAAAACTCTTACTAGAGCTGAATGGGACACTTGTCCAATCTCTCCGAAAGTTCAACTCCGGAACAACAGCCGATACAACCTTGCCCGCGAGCCCCAATGGTGGAACAAAAGCCTATCCTTGCGGAGCACCAACAGCTTCACCCTGAGGTGGCACCGGGCTCAAAGACTCAGTCGCTCCTCCGACCGAATATTCAACCAGCAGACCACGGGCCGCCTCTTGGCCTGCATAGGCGCACCAATGGGTGGCCCACCTTTCCTACCTCCCTCATATTGGAGGCTCAACGAATTAGAAGAACCAACTTCATCGTTATCCACCATTCATCTCTTCTTCGAGGCAAGTTGCTTCTTTCGTCTTATCCATTCAGGCTGAGCCTTTTCTTTCGGCCTCTTTGCTTCTGCAAGTTTCTTTATGGCCTCAAGCCAACTCCCTCCAAAAAGGCCTCCTATAGCACATACTCAATGAGATCGTCTGACAGAGAATTCTTACTGCTCGCCATAGCAACTCCCTCTACAACGGTAGACCGAACTATCAAGCTCTTGAGAAATGTGAATAACTAAAACACCCTGTGCCCTATTTATAGACTGCCACAAACAAGACAATACATGTTGTTTAATTATTAAAGCACTGATTTTGACAAAAATGAATCTACCTTTTCTATTAAATTCTCTTGTTCTTATTGTAACATTACTTTCAAGAAACAAACTAAAGAAGACCCAAAATACGTCAGCACGAATATCGAAGAAATCTTATATTTTGAAAAATAAACATAATAAAAAATGATCAACCAAAAGTCAAAGGTCATATCAACGTGAGCCCACGTGATCCAATGCCTAATTATGGCCTCCCTAAAATTGTGTACAAAATCTGTCAAACGTAAGCCCCCAGGAAAAAGATCAAGACGTACCCAACCAACAAAAGGGGTCTATTAGACTCCCCAAAATAATACCAAAAGTCATCTTAGAGAAAAAGACTCGACAAGATTACTCAATTGCCCAACACAGCACCATCACTAATCCCCCCAATTGTTTTCTTATTAAATGGGTGGGGCTACTTGTCGGATTACAGTAAATTTCCATCTATCCTACAGCTTACTCTCATCTTGCCGACAAGAATCTCACTTAAGTGGCAAGGACTAAAAATCAGACCAAAGGAGCCGGTCGACCGAAGTCTGACGACCCAGGGACCCTCATGAGTTGATTGATTGACCTTGCCAAGCAGACCGAAGGTCTTCAGCTTGGACGACTGAAGGTCCTCAACCAGGCCAATCGAAAGCCCTCAGCCAAGTCGACCAACTGACCTTGCCAGGCCGGCCGAAGATCCTCAGCCAGACCGACTGCAGGCCCTCGGCCAAGCCGACTTGAGGCCCTCAGCCAGGCCGACCAAAAGTTCCCATCCAAATTGATCGTCTGCCCTGACTCAATTAAATCGACTAGATGAACCTAGTCAATTCTAGGGCCGCCGGTCCAAAACGACCGAATAATGGGGAAACTGAGCCAATGATCTTTTATTATTTATCTATTTATTTATTTATTTATTTATTTATTTATTTATTTATTTATTCATGACCAAAATATTCTATGACGCCCTTATTCGAGCAAGGGAAAGCAGGAAATTGTATATTTTATACCCCTGAGCCTATAAATAGAGTCATTTTTACAGTAAATGGCTAATGAACCATTCCAGCTAATCTAATTTTATTTATTCCCTCCCTCCCTACTAAGTTATATTTCATAATTGTGCTTCACAAGACAATCTTGGATTCAAACAGTAAAAAAAACAAAAAAATTTGATGTTAGGTATTTGAATACATAAGAATTCGAAATTCGGTTGTATGTATGTAAATGCCCATAATTACTATGGCAGAATAGTAAATAGAATTAAGAGGTGGTATGTCTGTAAATGCCCCTACTTATTATCGCTGAATAGTAAATATATTTGAGAGATCGTTAGTCGTTCCAGGAAACACTCAAATTCAGTTTGGGACTGCAGAAGAAAAACTTACAAAAACCTTTTAAGAAAATAATGTAAGATAAAAAATTATAGTAGTGCGTCACAAAAAAAAAATAAAAGCCAGCAAGCTTTAACATTTTAAAATTTGAATTACCTCTGAGACAACAAGCAAACCGACTTAATGGGGGGAGCTCCAAAGCAAAATATAGTCTGGTTAACCTGTAATTGACGTGAGATACTGATGTGTGGGACTTGAGAGGCTTAATCGATGGCAATTATCAGAAAACCGACAGATATATACATCAGGAATACAGGATATAAGGCGAGGGCTTTTCTTCTGGGATTAACCGCAGCACTCATGAAAGGATATGCAGCCCATGAGCTCCATGCCAACGTTACAGAAACAACTATTACTTTGAGGATGACATTGTCTTTTAGCAGGCAGATTAGAGCGCCGATGTCCAAAGGAAACAGGCAGTAACCGAGAATGCTGAGACTTTGAAAGAAGATAATGTGGCCGCCCTGGTTATGTATTACATGACCATTCAGAAACTCTTCTTTTTTTTCTTGGAAATTTATATGCATACCACAGAATTCTTATGAATTTACATATCTAAGCTAAATTTTGATAATTAAATTTAAAACAATTTAGTCTATAAACCTATTCATAAAAAGGTGTATTTGACTTCTAAATATTAGGAAATGATATTTTTAATGTGATGTTAAAGATTGGAGCGGTATGAATGTGAATATTATAATTTGGGTGTTAGATATGTAAAAACATATGAATGGTGTGGTATATCTGTAAATTTTTATAACTGGAATAACTATTTTGCATACTATAAGAGTGTACTTACCAGGAGCAACACATTTAATGTGAGTATAACTGCACCAGCAGCGAGCATGGCAAATGCAACCGCAAATACTTCAGACTGGCAGTGTAATGTGAGGTTAACGGTGTTAGAGAAGATGAATATGAATATTTTCAAGAAGGTAGATTTTCCAACATAAAAAACTAAAGTTAAATAAGGACAAGTACACTTGGAAAACATTTGAGTGTAATAAAATAATGTACATATCAATTTCAAGCGAACACCTGGACACAACAGGCATATACTCAGTTTCGCAGCATAGCATTAAAGTTAAACGGGGCCAAGTTCGTAGAAGTTGATGTCTTGGCAGACTAGACAACATAGCCGAATCTAATACACAAATTTGTTCTAGCTACAAATCGTTGGTCAGGGCTCATCAGCACGTACATTTTCTCTAAATTAATCAGCGGTCCAACCATAATTTTTTTTTAATTTATGCAAAACAAAAGCTGACAGGAGAAATGAGACAATGCAAAACAAAGAGGCAGTACAATAAACCTTCTTAAGCGGGGCCCTGTAAAAAAGGCTGTTTAGATAATTTATTATATTAAATACAATGCCATCGCTAAGAAAACTTTGATATTTTCCATTAAGAAATAATTCATCAAAGGCAGGGCCTAAAATAGCATATATATATCAATTAAAATGAAGGCTTGTTTGGTATTATTTCTGCTTTTTTGTTTTTTTTTTTTTTTTTAATATGGAGAAAATGTGCTTGATTACTTTGTTGTCTTTATTTTTTAAACAAATAAAGTTATTTCTTAAAACACCAAAATCAACTTTAAGAGTTTTCATTTTTTTTAAAACCAGAAACTCCAATCCACCAAAGCTTGCACGCAACAAAAGGCTCTCCAACTCGAGGCATGCTATTATAAAGCTTTTATCCTCTCTCGACCATTAAGATAACACAGGAAAATTGAGTTCTCTTTATTTACAAGAAAGAAGCCAAAAAAGGAGAAGGAAATCCATGCATAAGTACAGCAAGGTTTGACTCTCACTATCTCATTGGCATATCCTAAAGGTCCACAAATCTTATTTCTGTTTCATTTATTTAACCCTAAGAACGTCCTCATGAAACCTTAGAATCCAAATTAAGAGTCTCTGAAATCACAACTTGCACAATATTTAAGTTCATCAGTGTAATTATAAAATGGGGTCCACGTGAACTTTTTTAAGATTTTTGGGCTAGTACAACACTAGTCCACGAGAGAACAATACTTGCCCAATATTTAATTTGCATTAAGAATATTTTTTTTTTTTTTATGAAGTTCTAAGCCAAAATTTTAGAAGAGTGTTAGCACTTTAATATACATTTCAATTATAATGTTTGCATCATTTCATTTGATGAACTAAAAGAGAATTTGAATGACTCGATCCTAATTTTTTTAATGAACAATCTCTTTAAAAAAAAAAATTAAATGGAATTCTAAGACAACCCGCACATGCCTCCAGCCAGTCGCCAGCCTACACCGCATCAAAGTTAAGGCAGCTCCATTTTGTCCACCAACACCTTCGACTGCAGCACCACTACCATCTCCCAAATCAAAATATAAATAAACTTAGGCAATTCAGTAAAAAGAAAAATAAATATAATATATAATTTAGATGCAAAATATACTTTTATTTAATTTCAAAAGATAAGCATAACAAAAACGAAACGAAAAAAAAAAAAAAAGCAAAAAGGAAGTCCTGCCAAACGTCCCCATAAAATTAAACATTAGCTTGTGTCGCCCAACCAATAAAAATATGTAATTAAGAACATGTCATTATAAAACAGAACCATTCTAAAACATTGCAATACACTTGATTGAAAGAACTAATAACCTACCGACAATAACATTACACTTGTGATTAAAGAGGTTGTCATGCACGATAGCAAAAGAACCAACTGCTAAGGATTGAACTACGTAGCTGGCACAAGGATTGAATTAATGAGCTAAAAACGAGTATATATGACTAAGGGCCTGTATGGGTCTCCCAAATCAAACCCATCCAACTAGGATTCGGACACTCACATTTTAGGCTAGATCAAAATTAGTATTTATGTTACATTTTTTCTGCATTTTCTAATGTTTATCTTCTTAAATTGAAATTTATATGATTTTGATTTTAATTGAAATTGCTTTGATATAAAAATGACTACTCAATAAAAGGAGCTTATGAGCTTTAGATTAGGTTAAGATTCAACTAATCTTTCTCTTAAACTCTCCCTCAAAACATGGTCAGTCAATACCCCCCAATATTCTCACTCTCATGTTCTATCAGTGACCCCCTATTTATTCAAACCCAGCAACTCTCTTACTCACATTCTCTAAATTGCAGTAGCTTTAATCCCCAAGCATATCTGAAAGTTATCCAACCCCAGGCATGTATTACCAAGCTGCTATTCTTCTGCTGCCCATCAGCATATCATACGAAAAGAGAGACGCCAAAAGAGAAGGGGAAGTTACTCAATGCATGCATTTGATGACATTTAATAAAACCTAATTCTAGTTCCTTCATCTGAACCCTAAATCCCTCCTCATAACCCATGAATCCTGATTAGGGTATATGAAATCACAACTCCATCAAAATTTGATATCATGAACTATGATCCATTGAGAAGAAGCACACCACTATTTCACTAATGTTGATTAGATGGTGCTCTAAAATGAGGAATTCATCTCTAATAATGTAGGCTAACTTTTTTCCTCGAGTCAATTTGCGAAGTACACAGATCTTCATGCTTGTGCTTGTCTTATATCAATGTCCTTACATCTCATCGAACCTAAATAGCATGTCCTAAGAGTATAGAAGCAAAAAAAATTACCCAGTTGGAATATATGCTCAAAATAGGATGTGCACTCATTCTTCTTAATTGTTGTCAATGTATATTTATCATCATGGCTTCTTATCCACCGTAATCAGCCTGAAAGCACATGACAAGGAGAAATACTACACTACACTACCAAATAACTTATGCCAAAACTCATGCCACACCATCACTTAATTAGGGGGTCCAATAAAAGTTATGCTCGAATAGAATTGGGCAAGGGCGACTCTTCTAAGTTTAATTGGTATACCTAGAAAATGGGACCCAAATGATTTTTTGTAGATTTGTAAGTGCTGCATATCAATATTCTAAAAGAAAACACAACTTGTAAAATAAGTAATTTGTTTTATGAATGCTTATTTTTCTCTGACGTTTTAAAACTAAATTTTAGAAGTATGGTAGCAATATGATATGATATTTCAAGTATAATATTTACATCATTTCATATATCAATATAAAGAGGAGTTTAATGATTTAGTACTGAATCATTAATGAAAGCTCCCCTGAAGGAATTCGTTGAAAACTGGTCTCACAGCACTAACAAACATTATTAATACATACATGTGAAGAGAAACTAGCATAGATGAACAAATACACAATTTAAACAAACGCATTACTCTACATGAATCAAGGGAAGGAACCACCTAGAATGGTCAAATTCAAAAAATATTGAGCATTTACAGCTTTACTCACTTGATTATCATGATGAGGGTATTATAAAGTTATGAATTTTCCATTATTAAACGGTTAGGATAGATTTTGATCAGATGCCAAAGCAGAGAAATATAAGAATACAATCTGAAGATTTTTGCTAAAGGCGGCATGATATCCTCCATATAACTCCAAGCAAAATCAAACACACCAAAATCATGTATTTATAGCCAAAAGGTTCATGATAGAGATAATCCCTTCTGATGAATCAAGTAATAGCGTTCAACTTTCAATGAAAAGCATGATCCACATGATTTTCTGGACTGGTTAGCAATGTTAGCGGATTGTTAGGACTTGCAAGGGTATAGAAAGTTGCTTTAACTTCTATTAAACTGACTAGTGCAGCTTCCTTCAAGGATTTTTAGAAAGAGGTTATAGTCGATACAATTTCAAATAGTGATGAAATCCTTCGTAACTGAGATGCCATGAGGGAAAAGCTGAAAAAAAAATTTCTCTTCATCTTATCAAAACATGCTTCCCATGGAAAACTATGACAAGTGTTATAGTCTATTAAGAATTGTCATCCTATAAAAATCTTGAGATTAATTGGTTAAAGGAAAAAGCCCTAATGCATATCAATGACCTTGATATTAATATCAAGATGATGGTGGAATCCCACCAGCATACTTCACCTCAGGATGTCTTTCATAAAGCACTGGAGACTAAAATACTTCAAATGCTGAAGGCATTCTGCGCCTCCCAAGTTTAATACACCTACCACTACTATTACACAACCTAGATCTACTGCTAGATTGACATACAGATAGCAAAGACATACACATACTCATCTTAAAAATGTCGTCACATCAAATGCCATTATTGGGCCTACATGCTTTAAGTGTCATCTAATAGAGAATCTGCCAATCAATACCCCAATAAAACTTTTGCACCTGACAGACTAGTGTCACTGATAAAAATAACGCATGATACTATTAAAATGCAGAGACCAAAGATTCATGTTATAAAGACCAAACACATGAAAAAATCCAAAATTATCTGACCATAGTGAGCTGTATCTTCATCTGCCCCTCTACAAGCAGGATTAGAAGGTAACTAGCAACATCCATATTCGTTAATTGCAATGATAAAATATACAACTTGGCCTGATGACATAAGTACCATGAATGTAGTATCTAAATCTATTAACACTAGAAGAACTCTGATCTTTTTTATTATTGAGCCACATACATGATCTTATTATATTACCCGAGTCAACAAGACAACATGTTTATTACAAAGAGATAACTAGTTCTAATTAAATTGTATAGGTATTCTGATGGACCCATAGATGTAGCTGAAATTGTGCTAGATCATCTTTGCTTTAGGACAGGGAACTCATACTGTATAGCCATTCAAATGCTTTTTCCAGGATAGAAACATATCCTATATATTTTATCTAAAAAGATAAAACGGGCAAAATGCCAATTATATATTTGAAGCCACATTAGGACCTAGAGAATTCCTTCATGCCATGTTCATAGAGTATCTACACTAAGATCGACTAGAGATCAATACCTTAGAAACTGATGAATATGTT